GAGAGAGAGAGAGAGAGAGAGAGAGAGAGAGAGTGAGAGAGAATCGTGCTCGTTCCGCTTCTGAGTAAAAACCATTCTTAAAAAAAAAAAAAAGAAACGAAATAAATAAATAATAATCCGGTCATCGACCGGATATAAGGCGAGTGTGAATTGAATTTTCTCGACTTACTTGACAGGTTTTTGTCAATTATTTTGTAGCCAATATACGTAAACGAGATGGACGAGCGACGATTAACGAAACGTGTCAATGTAAGGAAATTTTTGAAAAACGATCGTGTAAAAAAAAAAAAGAAGAGGAAGAAGAAGGAGAAAAAGATTCCTCGAGCGGAACGAGCGATTCGACGAAGAATAATTGGATGTTTTAGGGGGTGAGAGTGAAAGGGTGAGAAATTAAAGTGAAAAAATAAAAAGAAAATTAAAAAAAATAAGAAAAGTGAGAGGAATGAGGTTGAGAAATAGAGTCGCGTGCTAGACCAACCGCGAGCGCGAGAAAATAGAAAAAAAAAAAAAAAAAAAAAAAAAAAGTGAATAAATAAATAAATTGGATTGTTCGTAGCTTTAGCCGAATGGACGAATGATCCATCGCTTTTGTATATAAAAATACAGAATACTAAGAGGAAACGTAAGAAAAGGAACTAACTAATTAAATAGGCGTAAGCAGATTAAGAGGACACTTTAGAGGGAAAATGGAGGAGGAGAAATGTGTATAGAAACTAACATTGTATCATACGAAAGTGAACGTTTAACGATTGTGGTTAATGACTAATGATAATAATAAACGCAACGTTATATTGTATATTGTGTATTTCCTGTCGATCTTTTTAATTTTTCGTTTTCTTTTCCAACCTCTCTCTCCTATATTCTTTGAATATATTCAAACTCCCTTCGAGATTGAAATTATTATTATATTGCATAATTAATTACGAACCCCCTTTTTTTTATTCTAATTTTATCGATAATGTGTGACAAGAAAAAGTGAAAAAAAAAAAAAAAGAAAAAGGATTGAGCTACAATTACGATTTAAATCAAATTTCTTTTATATTTAAGAAAAAAGGAAAAAAGTATTTCAAATACATTGTTTTTTGTTCGCAGCGATAAAGAACATTTTTTTGAAAAATTTCCCCATTTCGATCGTCTATTACGAATTATTACAACAAAAGAAGAGGATCGACCAGAAAATTTGTCGAATAAACCGATACAAACAAAACATTTCCCTTTCCACGATCTTCCTCCAAATGTTATGTATACATATACACGCTATACTCCAAAATTTCATTTCAGTCTAAATCGAAACTTTCGACGGGTCGCATCGCTGCTCGTATTTATATTTCGCGGGAATATTCTGCGAATATACAAAATTGTACAAAATTTGAGAAAAAGAATTACCACGTTCGTGCATTCGTTCGGTTCAAACTCGGATATTTTATGCATCGAAAAGGATAAATTTTTCCATTAAAAAAATCGATCGCGAACTGTGAGTACAATTATTCTCGAAGAAACGAACGATGGGCCGAAAGTTTCTTCGCGATCTTTGCGATCGAAAAATCCCGCTACATTGACAAATTGCCCGAACTGTGTGGAAATTGGGTCGAACGATGGGCAAAGTTGGTGGTGCGAGGCTGCGTCTCATCCTTCATTAATTATCTCCCTTGTCGCGGCAACTTTTCGACGACGATGCTCCACAGGGACCATCCGAGGTAAGTGAATTTCGTTTTACGAATTTGCAAGTTGGAATTTTCGTGCCCATTGCACCCGTCCGATGTTTTCAGACGATCGATCATGAATAACGGATAATTCGTGGCCGTTTCCACCGCGTCGTTGTGTTCTATTTAATCCGTTCAGAAAGTGCGCTCTTCAACACGGTTTTATCAATACGTATAAATCACGCTTATTCGAGAACCGATAAAAGTATTTAAAAATTTAGATGAATGATATAAAATAAATCTAACGAGTACAAATATCACGGTAATAAAGGTGACACGATATGTCGTGCATCGATGTAGATTCTTGATAGTAGATTCGAGGAAATAATTTTGAAAAATATCCGTTCACTACGATTATTCTCTATGTAATTATTTTTACGAGAAAATTACTGGAACGAAATCTAACGTAACGTACACGAAACAAATCAGAAATATTAGAAGGAGGAAACGAGTATCGACAGGCGAATGACCGTCAAAACCGGCCCCCCTCATCGCGATAATGTCCTTTGTAAATCAGAGGCGTGGACGTCGACAACAACGTTCCTCGAGAAACGTTGCGCAGACAGTTGTGACAAACGAAACATCCAAATATTCAATTTGCGCCGACGTTCTCCGGCCCCGGTCCACGGAGAATAGCTGTTGTCACGCAAGCCAGACAGACTTATCGGAACGTGGACGACGTCTGACGGGGACTATTGACGTGTTCGAGATCGTGGAAGCCTCGATTACGATTCGATCAACCTCTTTTATCTCCGGCCTGTCAATTAACCGCTTCCGGCCCCGGCTAATTGTCCCCGGACGGTGAACCGAGCTGTGTGCATTTTTCAGCAGGAGATGGCTTGCTTCGTTCCATGTTTTGAACCGAATAACGGACAGAAGAGACAGATCGTTCGGGTATAATAATTTATACTCGTTGAACATGAATTATGTTATATTACTTCCTGCGTTTGTTGCCTTTTCCAACAACGTGTGACAACGATTGTGATTATTGATCGTTGATTTTATTATCCTGTTGGAAGGATCGAGGCAATATAAATTTATGTGAGACAGTTTCAAAGGGTTTGGAGGAATGTTCGTGTTCGATAATGAAACTTAAATTCGACGTTAATTCCTATACTACGTACAATCTGTTCACAAAATTTTTTATTACATATAATTCGTTCCCTGGGGACAAAAATCCTCCTATATTCCGATCCTCTTCGATTCCCCTTTCGACTCGTCATATCACATCCATAAAGGGACCGTTGGAAAGCTCGAGATCTTCTCGTTGAAACTCTTTTTGTTGTCATCACCCTACGACCTCCCCGTTTCCGAGATACGACGGTTTTAAAGATAGGCTTAATTTTGAATCATCCGTCCTTTCTATCCCTGTCTCGTTCTCGCTCGTTCCCTCTCACTCGCACGCCCCATTCTTTCGCTCTCTCGCTCTCGATTCTTTCACCGCCACGCTCGCTCCTCTCACTCGTTATACCGACCTACCCCACTGCCCACTGACGCGCTGAGTCAGCCTTTTTTTTCTCTCTCTCCCCTCCCCTCTTTCTCTCTCGCGCTCCCACTTTTCACTATCGCTACTACGCGACGTGCGTATTTCCGCGAAGAAGAAGTGGGTCACGCCGCTTCCGGGGATTCCGTGCGCCATTCAACTTTCCGCGCGCTTCGAGGCGACGTATCTCGGAAGAGAACGGAACGAGATATCGATGTGGAAAAAAATGCCTCTTCTTTGGCAACGTTATTTTCTGGATATTCCGTCTGGGAAGATGGAACAATTATAATCGTATCGGTGTAATTCTTTTGGTCGAATTTTTTTTCGATAATTCGATTCAATTTTATTGAGATAATTATAAATAGGTAATCCGTCTTTGACGGAAGAAATTGTTATTATTAAAATTATTATTGCGTTTCGAGTGACGCTTTTGAAAAGAAGTCAGCTG